ATAACGAAACTACTTCATAAATTTTATAGGGAATTTTTTTTATTCAAAACTCAATGTGTTAGTTTTTGGTTTATATTTGGCGTTTGCAATATGTATATATATCGGAGTTTGCAATATGTATATATATTTATACTTGTATCATACATTTTTGTTTTTCTCTATAAATTTCAATGTAACGATGCAAATCATCTATTATATAATGTTGCATCATACGTTAGGCCGTTATAAGAGATTTGTTGTTGAAATTCAGTACATAGCTAATTTAAAATAACATTTGCCTAAATTTTTAAACAATATTGGCCCAGTGTTACATACAATATTGGGCCAATTTTGTATAGAACGTTGGGCCAATGTTGTATCAAGATTGGCCTAACGTTGAATGCAACGTTCGACCTACATTTGGTTAACGTTGTATACAACATTTGACAAATGTTGAACACAACGTTGGGCCAATGCCTAACCAATGATCAAATCTACATTGGTCCAACATCGAATTTCAACGTTGGACCAATAAATCACCATGCATTGGCCCAACGTTGGTTCAATGTATGCTTGCTGTCTGGGTTATAAGGAAATGCAATATAACAGTTTGAATGCATCTAGATTTTAGAAAATTCGGAAAATCTGCATGGATTCCCAAATTTTTGGCAGTTTCACTTTTTGGAAAATCAATTATTCATATATTTCAATGTAGCACAGCCGTGATTAACTACTTGTTAAAAAAACAACTAGCAGTTCCCATATATTGAAAAAAATAATAATTTAAAAATGATGAACAACGATATATCGTATAATATGTGGGCGCCTGTTTCCGAATCTACAAGAAAAGTTTTTCATTACTGATTGATAAGTCAGATTTCACTTTGATTCATACTAAAATATATGGAAAAAATAAAAATGAAAAAGTCCTAATGGGATAAAACATTGACTTACGGTTAAATTTGACATAAATGTATTGTTGTGATTTCTGGTAAAGGAGTATCAAAACAATTTTCTATTAACACAATTTTCTCAGCTCTATTGCAATTAATCAAAATCTTACTTTTAGAACAATGTACTAAGAAGATAATCAAAAAAAAACAAAAAACGAATTGTTCTATCCTGGCTCCAATGTATTATGCCAAAATATTGGCGTCATTCTTAGATTAGAACTCCATAAATTTGTGGTGAAAGTTATCAACTTGTAAAAAATACGCAAATCTTACTTAACTTAGGCCTTGGAACAGCAACGTTAAAGTTAATTCCAGGATATATGTTTTAGTAAACACATCTTGTTTGAGTGTTTCGCTTAAAATAATTGCAGCCAATCACAAGCTTCTGTTACTATTTCAATTTTGTGAAAAAATATTTACAAACCATAAAGATACAAAGAATGCTTAGGATACGGTGACAGCTCAGCATACAAGTTGTTGCGAAAGTTATGTATTTAGATTTAAAAATATATAAACTTTACTGTGTTTTAGATGAACAAATGAGACTTGGATATTGTGCACCTAGCTATAGAATAATACTTAAAAACTCTTAAATTACTTCCAAATTTTAGCTTAAAATTAAAGTTATTTTTTTATTCATTACTAACATTGCGGTTTGCAGTTAATATAAACTTTATTTTTTTTGGAAGCTTTAAATAATGTAATAGTAATTTAGTAAAATATAATATTTTGATTGCAACTGATATTGTAAATTTATATATAACAGTTCTGGAGCCGTTTTTTTAAAATGCTTTTTACGCATTTTGAGAAAAACGCAATTAAAAAAAATAATAAGGAGAAACTCTTTGTAAAACGTTTTTTGAAACTAACAACGTTTATGTATTTTTTTATAATTTAAAAAAATAAGTCAATTTTTTTTTTTACCTTAAGGCGTTTTGAAAAATAATCGCATAATTATATTGTAGATATTAAATTTATAACCAATAAAAGAAAACACAAACAATTTGAAGTGAAAATTTTCCTAAAGGAAGATAAAAAATAAAGCCTTAGATTTATAAATAATATTAAAAGTAAGAAAGCAGATGTACGTACTGGTGTTATTAATAACGTATGATAATATTACTTATGAACCGGCATCAAATATTTGTAATAAAAATGAAACTAGTTTAACTAATGAACCTATTAATAAACTTAAAACTCAACATGTTTTTTTTCATCATTAATGTATTGTGGTAATGCAGAAGGACGTATTACTTCTTTATGTAAAAACAAAGCAGATTCAATGCATTTAACTTGGGCAAAAATTGGATCAAAATAAGTACACTACAAACGCTTATAGATTTTTTGGTTTTAACCTCGGCTGCTTTACTGCTGATTGGTCTAAATTGCTTTAATTATTGCCTAAACTACATAAAAAACCTAAAAACAAATGTTCTAATTAAACATAATTGTCATAATATACAAATTCACATGTTCTTTATCTTTGTATAAGAGGGTAACATCAAATTCGTTGCACTTCCTCTGAATACTACACATTTGATTAAGCCATTAAATGCTGCATTTTTTTTGACCTATGAAAGTTTAGTGTAAAATATTGGCAACTTAGAAGGAAAATGGGAAAGGGGGTAAAACCTTCGAAAGACCAAGTTGCTTCTTAAGGACTATTTGTCATCAATGTTTAATGCTAACATGCAAACAACTAACATAAACGAGAAAAAAAAAACTGCTGTAAAAAAGTTATCCAGTCTTAAAAAGCACGTAAGTATAGACAAACTAATACTTGTATTTGATTATTTAATGAATGATTGTTTTTATGTTTTAGATATTTAATTTAATTTTATGTTTTAGATATTTAAATAAAATTAACTTTATTAGTATCATAATTGTAACATTTTATTATCTTGGTATTATAAAACTAAATAAATATGAAAGTTATTTTCTGAATTTTTAAATACTTTTTATCTAAAAAAAAAACTTTTAACATTCATATGTATGTAAATATGTAGAATACGAAATTAAAATCAATAATTGTGATTACACTTTGGATGGCTAAAGTCATCAGCTGTATATGTCTTTTAACTGCATGTCTTAAAAATTAAAATAAAATACATATTAACCTTTTTCATGGTTTATTTCTTTGCACATCTAATACAACTTACTTCAACATAAACTTATTATTAATATTTAAAAATAATTATTAATCATTTATACTTACGTTTTGCAAAAAAAAATAAAAATATTTAAGTTAAAAAATTCAATTCGTTTTACGGTACTTGCGTTTTATGTGTTTTTTTATTTTAAATTGATTATTGAACTTAATTATTATAAATGATTATTATCAAAAAAAGTTTTGAGAAAGAACCTAATAGTTATATTATATCATAAAATAAGTTTAAAATATATATTTAATAGTTTTAGCTTACTTAAACAAATCATAAATCCTAGAAGATAAAATACTACAGAATATTTTTACTAAGGTTCAAAAGTTGGAGAGAAATTAACACCCAAAACTGCTTTAATGTAACAATGAACCGTTATGACGGAGCAGAAATCCGTGAACTGGCAAGATCAATAAATTTTGTTAAAATTTTAGTTCTTTAGTTAAATATACAAAAACTTATTGTTTATGTCATAAAAGCTGCTTGTTGCGCGTAAAAAACCAGAGATGTAAATATCTAAAAACTAGATATGTATTTATGCAAGTTTTACTCAAAGTATAAATAATTTTAGTTAAAACAATAACTGTGGGTCAGTTATATTCTTAAGAAATTTAAAATAAAAGTCAAACAAAATGCTTTACTCAAAATAGTTTTTAAAATGTTTCACATTTATAAATTCAATTTAGCATAATGGCCATTTTTTTTCTTCCGTTTGCTAGCCATTTATCTATTTTTACAATAAATAAATAAACATTTTTATTTCAAAACATTCAAGCATGTCAAACAAAATGTGTATTTGTTTATTTTATGGCTGACTTTAATTTTTTTTTGGGTGCGCTGAAAATAAATATGCCAAAGATATTTTAGTTCCTATTAGACTTGAGTTTAAATAAAGAAAAAAGAGAAATGACGCAATATTTGTAATAGTAATTTTCATTCAACTTTTAACCGAAATTTTTAAAGTATGAAGCAAATAACTTTATTAGCTTTATTTTTTTCACTTTGCATTAAATGTTTCGAAATAAAAAAAATTATTTATTACAAACTGCAAAAATGGGTAAAAAGCTAACAAGTAAAAGGAAGAAGAAAGTTGAATACGCAGTGGCTAGAGCTCTGGCTATGAAATAAGAGGTCCGAGATTTGACGCTGGCTCTAGTCAAATAGACGACATTAGTAATGAAGGAGGCTAGCCTCCTTCATTATTAAATAAATAATTTTTTGTTTATAATAAATAACTTGGAAGTTCAAGCTTGAACTTCCAAGTTAAATGCTCTTTCGCAGTACTCTGTATTAAGACCGTAAAACCGTAATGACTTAAAAAAAGTTAATTAGCTAATGATCTAAAAGTAATTTATACAATAGTTTTGTTAACAGCTTAAACGCACAAATGTTTTTACACTATTACTAACAGAAAAAATTGTAAACAAGATTATTTCAATCTTAAAAGGTACTTGGATGTCATCCCGATTATTAAATGTACTTGGATGTCATCAAGATTATTTCAATCTTAAAAGGTACCTGGATGTCATAATAAGTATGAAATAGATGAAAAACTGCTTAAATTTTTATGTGGATAGGATCTTGCCCCATCCTGTTTTACTTTGAGCATGTATATAATGTATATATATATATATATATATATATATATATATATATATATATATATATATATATATATATATATATATATATATATATATATATAAATATATATATATATATATATATATATATATATATATATATATATATATATATATATATATATATATATATATATATATACAATACTTTTCACTTTTTTCTCCAGCATTTAATATCTAATTAAAATTACGATTTGCACTATGGTCTTCTACAACATGAACAATGTTTCTCTAGAATGCATCTAACTTCAAATAGTGTATTTTACCTTTCTTGTATTATCAATGAAATTGATGGGAAATTCTAAATGTAAATCTGTTTGCAATGCTATACTGTCTGCTTCTTTTATACTATTGATTGCACGTTGAATAGCTAATGTTTTTTGAAACTTACCACTCAGCGTAATAACCTAAAAAAAGTATATACTTTATATAAATAATAACCTAAAACCATATTATTGTTTATTTGAAATTCTAATGGTAAAATTTAACAAAACAATCAATAATAAAATGAAGCGATGAAGAAAATTAAGAAAAAAGAAACAAAAAATGAGATAAAATATTTGTAGCAATAAGCATTTACTGGTAATAAGTTATACCTGCCAATGAGGAAGTATACTTCGTGTCAATAATTTTGTCACATTTACGTCAAAACTTTCAAAATCGACAATAATCAAGTTAAACCTATTATCCTTTGTTTTTGTGTAGACGTTTGATAGAGATTCGATGTAATGCTGAACCCAGGCTCCTTGATTTTTTACTAAATTATATATACATTGTGTGGCAAATCTATTATAAAACAAATTAAGGAAACATCATTTACGGAAATATCATATAACAAATTAGGTGGATTTTACTTAAAAATTCTTGAAATTTTGAAGTAAAAATCCTTCTAAATTGTAATATGACTTTTCTTATGATAAAACCTTTTAAATTGTTATCTAACCTTTTTTTTTTATCAATTTTATTTTGTTATTTTTGTTTATTTTTACAAAGAAGCCCATCGAGGAGTAAAAGAGCGAGATTTAAGTGAGATTGCAAGATAATGGAACAATCATCACAAGATATAATGGTGATTGCAAGGTGCAATTACCCTTATATCTTGTAACAATCACCTTTATATCTTGTAATAATTTTTCCTATATCTTGAAATCTCACTTAAAATCGCTCTTTTATATATATAAAGAAATCACTCAAAGAGATTACAAGATATGGGGGAGATCGCTAGATGTTAGAGAAAATCTCTTCAAGAGATTTCAAGATATAAAAGATATTGTAAAATATAGGATGAGATGTAAGATATATCTTATATTTTATCCTAAGTATAAAAGTAATTGATTGCGTAAAAATGACTTTGTTACGAATTAGTAAAAATATTTAGTTGTCTTTTCTGATCTCGCAATTCTTTATTTTATAATTTTTTTTGAAGGTTTAGACAAAAAAACAACTATACTTTAGTTTAAAAGCTATTTCTCAAATAAACAACAAATTCATTCAGTATTGACAAACTGTATGTTAAATATTGGAGATTACATTGTAAAAAGAGAATGTTCGATGAAATTTTTAGGTGTAATTCTAGATGAAAACATAAATTGAAAAGACCACATAAACATGATTGAAAATAAAATTTCTAAAAATATTGGATTACTCTATAAAGCAAAACCATTCTTAGATCAATCCTGCTTGAAATACATATATTACTCATTTATACATTCTTATCTAAATTATGCAAACATTGCTTGGTGTAGCACCAATAAAACAAAGATAAAAAAGCTATTTAGCAAACAAAAACATGCAATTAGATTATTATCAAATGCACACTGCCTCTCGCATTCAAGACCATTGTTTAACAATCTAAAAATACTGAATGTGTACCAAATAAATATATATCATCTTCTGATTTTTATGTATAAAATTAATAACAATTCAATACCAAATATCTTCAAACCATTATTTAATAAAATTCAACACAAATACGTAACTAAATATTCTAACAACAACTTTGTTCAACCCAAAACTATATACGACTCCACCAAGTTTTCAATAACTGTTAGAGGACCTAATGCATGGAATAAGATAATCAGTAATGATATTAAAACACTTAAAACTCTTGATCAGTTTAAACAAAAACTAAAACTATTACTTTTAAATAATGAACAAACAGATAATTATTTTTAAATCTATCTATAAAAATATTATATTTTAAAACTATCTACTAATGCATACTTTATTTGTCTGGAAGGTCTAAATTCTTTAATTTTATATAGGTATTACAGTCTGTTATATTATAAAAAAAGTACTTATAAAGATTTTTAGCATTTTTAGATTTCATTAGTTTAAATAAATTTATTAGTTTTCTTAAATAAGAGAGAGAGAGGAAAAATAAAAAAAGTAATCTTTTTTGAGTTTTAATTTTTTATATTAATATTTTGTAATTTGTTTTTGAGGAATTAATATATTACACTTTATAAGAACAGATTGTAAATTAAATTTTACGTTTACTTTTTTCATGTTTTTTAGTTTTTTGATATTTTTGTTTTTCTGAATGAACTTTTAAATTCTTCTTTCAAAAAATAAAATCGAAAAAATATCTTTCAAAACTTTGAACTATTAAACTATTTGGCATTTTATATAAACTTCTTTGTAATATTTTGCTTTTTTCTTAATTTCTTAATTTTTTAATTTTCATTTTAGTTACCATGTATTTATATAAATGTCTAGACAAACAAGGGACTTGGTGATAAGACAACCCCGTCTTCTTCTCGTCCTTGCCATTTTTAAATATTTTAAATTACGGAACTTGTAAATATTTGTACGGCTAAATTATAAAAAAAAAAAAAAAAAAAAAAAAAAAAAAAAAAAAAAAATTATAATTTTGAAACTTAGCATATATGTTAATAATTTAAGCAACCCATCTAATATTCTAGAATCAAGATAGGTTTGCTTATAATAAGATTTCCATAGTGATATTAAAACTTTTTTTAAAACAGTCAGTAATAAATTTCTAAAATTAACTGAATAGTTAAACGTAAATAAACTATTAATTTATTTACGAAAAGTAATTAAAATTACGAAGATGCAGAAGTGCCTAAATTTCCAAGTGGTAAAATGCAGAAATAAAATGCAGTAAATAGGCCAGGAACTTCCGTTTATATATCAACTAATTTATGGAAAAATTGCAAAGGAATGCTGCTACATCGACTGAGGGTTTGGGTTGAGCAGCAATATAGTTTGGCTTAGAAGAAATTTTCCGGACTTTATTCCTGCATTTTATTCGTTAAAAATTTCCGCATTTCTGCATAACCGCATTTTACCCCTATTTAAAACAGTTTTAAAAAAAACTTTTTTTCATCGCTAATGTAAAAGAGATGAAATTTTTCTTACTTTTCCAAAACGGGAGGCTGCATAAGCGCGAATTGGCATATGTGCGAACTGGCATTTGTGCGAATTGACATAAGTGCGCCAAAATATTTTGCAAACATTGGCATAAATGCGAATTTGTATAAGTGTGAACTGGCATAAGTGCGAAGCAGTTGCAAAAACTGGCACAAGTGCAAACTGGCATAAGTGCGAATTGGTATAAGTGCGCCGAACAAATTTGGTAATATTGGCATAAATGCGAATTGGCATAAGTGCGATCTGGCATTAAGTGCATAAATTTGTTCGGCGCACTTATGCCAATTCGCACTTAAACCAGTTTGTACATGCGCCACTTTTTGTAACTGATTTGCACTTATGCCAGTTCGCACTTATGCCAATTCGCACTTATGCCGATGTTAGTAAAATGTTTTGGCGCACTTATGCCAATTCGCACATATTCCAGTTTGCACTTATGCCACACTTAAGCTAGTTTTCTTCGCACTTATGCCAATTTGCACATATGCCAATTTGCGCTTATGCCAATTCGCGCTCACGCCATTCGCACTTATGCCAGTTTGCACTTATAAAATTCGTGCTTATTCAGTCGTCCCTTTCGAAAAAATCATCATCGGTGATCACAGCCGTTAATAGAAACTGTTCAATGAAATTGTTTGTTGTAATTTTCGCTGAAAACATAACTTGTAAAAATCATATAAACATAAAAATAAAATTTTAAAAAATGTTAGTTTACTCTATTAAGCAAAACCTTTTTTAGATCAATTATACTTAAAATGCATTTGCTTCTCATTTATTTATTTCAAATATTTATATAAAAATAACACGCTAGCTAAATTTTTATAAAACTTACAACGTCTTTCTCATTCAAAACTATTGTTTAACAAACTGATTATATTAAACCTTTATCAAACAAACATACATCAAAGTGTAATTTTTAAATATAATTTAATAAAATGTATAAAATTAATAAAAATACATTACCAAAATGTTTTAAGCCGTTTCTTAACAAAACTTAATACAAATACTTTACTAAAAACTATATATGATTCAACAAAATTCTCAATAACTATTAGACGACCCAATTTACGGAATATGATGTTCAGCATTTAAAACAAATATTAAAATAATTAGAAAATTAATACAATTATAACTCATGATCAGTTTGAACAAGAACTATTACTCTTAAATAATTAGAAAGTTGAGTATTATTATATGTAAAGTGATGTATGAAAATTATAATATAATTTATATTTTATTAAGTATGGAACGAATTTAAGTCTTAAATTAATTATGTTATAGTAAATTACTTTATAAGAAAGTAAATCAATAAAAGAAAATAAAAGAAATAATTGGAACATTTAAAAAAATTAATCTTAATAATAATTTATGCTTTATTTTAACTGTAAAACAAAACAAACAAATTTTAACTATATATTTTTTAACCTTATTATTCATAAAGTTTAGACTATTATCATTTGTCGTATATTAAAATTTTCTTACTTTTTTATTCTGAATTCCTATAATATAACTTTTTGAATTATGAACTCTTTGAATTTTTTTCAATTTTGATTTACTATAACTTCTAATAAACTTTTTTAAATTATTTTATAAAAGCATACGCGTTTACGTATAAAGTATATAATACTATCTTATAATTTTCAATAATGATTATAATTTCTTTGTTTATTTTATTTTAAATAATTTTAAATACTATCAATTTCACTTTTAAAATTGAATTATTTTGCATTTTTCATTAAATTGTTTACAAAATTTCGCTTTGTATTCTTTTTTTGTTTTAGTTACAAATCAAATATGTGATTTTTACATATTTTAATACACGTAACTTATTGATATTATATTTACGGCTAAATAAATGAATAAAAAATTGACAATTGTGCGTGGTGAGTCATTCGATAAAAAGCCGTCGTTCATACATCCTAACTTAAATTATAAAGAATTATAAAATTTTATCAGTCTTTTTTAAGCTTATAAAAATTTAACTTTAATTAAAGTTTTAACTATTAGTTAATTTTAAAAAAAAATTAAAAAGTTATATAAATAAAGTTATACGTTTATTATAATTATCATAATCATAAAAAAAAAAAAATTATATAAACGACGTATAGTTTATAGTGATATAGAATAAAAGCATTTAAAAGACATTTTAACAATGAAGTATCGAAAGTTAAATTTTTCCAAAATAGAAAATATCAAATAAAACTTTATATTTGTCATGCGACGAATAATTTCGCGTAAACTGGGTAAAAAGAAATTTAGGTAAAAAAAAAATGCTTTATTTGATTTATTTTAATTGCACGTCAGCTTAACAATCATATATAATTCGTACTCTCTTTATATCCACGATTTAATTCTTACAAACCATCACTCAAATAGTAAAATAAAACTTTTTAAATGCTCTTCTGAAAATTGTTTTTAACTGTAGCAAAAGAAAAAAATTTGTTAGAAGACCCCATTAAAACTTAAAGGGTAATGACCTAAATAAGCATGAATTTAATTAAGAAAAATATGTATAACCATCTATTCATATAAAAAAATTAATAAAATATAAAAAAATGTGAAATATTTAACATGTAGGGGAAAGGTGCCTATGATAGCATAACGCCTATGATAGCATACCGGTCATATTTTCAAAAATATTGGTTATGGCAAAAAAGTGATTAGATCAACATGTCTATACTGACTTTACATTAGTTTGTAACACGTCAATTACATCGGTTCTCAACGACAAGACGGTCTTCTGCGAGTCTTCGCTTTCTTTTTTGACGGTCTTTTACACATATTATATATATATATATATATATATATATATATATATATATATATATATATATATATATATATATATATATATATATATATATATATATATATATATATATATATATATTTATTTATTTATTTATTTATTTATTAAAATAATATATACATTTATTAAAATAATATTTATATTAAAAATCATTATATTTTAGCTTGTCAATTTTATGAAATGTTAACGAAATGTTTTAAAATGTAATAGCAAACAAAAACAACAAAAACAAAAAAATTCCCGAAGTTTGAAATGCTTTTGAAGTATACAATTTATTCCGCAAATTACGCATGGTCTAAGTTCCGCAATATTGCGCAAAGCGTTAATAAAAAACATTTTTGCATTTGATAATTGAAACGAAATAAAAAACAAAAAACAAAAAACAAAAAAAATTAAACATCAAACGTAAAGCATACAAACAAAATATCCTGACAGAATACAAGAATGTTTCGACAAAATACACAACTCCGATTCTCACTTATAAACAACAAAATATCGAGATTTCTCAGCTAATACATATGCTATTAATTAAAAAAAATATAAAGCAGAAAACCATTTAAAAAAAAAAAACTGTAAAGGTATATTCTTTTTTAAGTAAGCAAAACAGAATAAAAACTGCAAAAAGTCGGAAATCCATTTTCAATAACAACTGTTAAATATCAGAAAACAGATCGCCGTGGTGAGATTTCTATATGATTATCAATAAAGTTAATCTGTTGAAATCTATTTATCTTATATACGTTCATTCTTTTCACGTCCCGCATTAATTAGCTTGGCATACTCAAATCTAAATTTTTCATATATTATTCTAGTTGCATGATTTTATACTCTAATAAAATACTGACGACTAAATAATGACAATAAAACGCGTTTTACTTAGAACACTAATAAAATTTTTATTATAAAAAGGAGTATAAAATATCAATAAAACAAAATGACGAATTGTTTTCTAATTTAAAAAAAAGTTTATGCTAATATGAAACAAACTTGTTTTATTTTTTTAATGTTTTTTATACAGTTTTCAACGTTAAAAAAAAAAAAAAAACGTTTTAAATAATTTAGTGTATAAAATGGGGTATATACACCCCGATAAAATTACTTAATTAAACATGCTTAATAAAATAAAATTACTTAAAACAACATGCTTAACTTCAAAAGATAACTTAATTTAATCAAGTTATCTTTTGAAGTTAAGCATGTTGTGTTCTGGACCCACGTAATGCTACCAAAACATTGAACCTATTTATTATTATGTTTTTTTATCAATCATATTTTCATCATATTGCTGAATAATATTTTTATGATTTATAACTTAGATACGTTAGGATAATCTGTATACGTTTAACACAAAACTTAGATGTTGTTTGTATATTAGAGAGGTAGACAATTAAATCTTGTGGAATTAAAATATTTACCTGAATCCGAATGGGTTAAATTTATTTTTTAAATCATTAAGGTAGAGGCTGATCAAACAAAATTATTTATTTTTTGCACGCATTATTTCATAATTAGATACTTTGTTGACGTAATTTTTTTTTTTTGGTATTATTTTTTTAGTTATTTTTTGGTAGTTATTTTTTATTAGTTTTATTATTATACTAGTAATAACTGTTATTACTAAAAATTGTATTATATACATTGTATGTATTATATAATATACACATTATTATTGTTAAAACGTAATAACTTAAAAACCTGTAAGAACCAAATGAACCATTGCCTCATTTTTCCATTGAAAATTTTCAGGGTAACACAATTCATTTGAATTAAATAAACGAAAAACGTAGACAGAAAGTCTTGCTATTTTGTTCTGGTCATGAAAGTCTTCTACCGCAAGTTCAATCAAATAACGATCGCCGTGCACGTCATGAGCGTTTTCAACATTAACTATTGTGTGCAACTTGAAGCGACTAGCAAAATTGTTCAATATATTTTAAATATAAAATTCTATGTAACTTTTATAGCATAAAAATAAACAACAAAAATTACAAATAAATACTTAGGAAATTTTATTGAAAGTGCTGTCATATATTTACTGACCAGCCATTGAGCAGAGAGTTCGTTTTCAACTTGATTGCCTTGACAATGCATAAGTTTTAATGATTCACCTATACATTCGGATGAATGATCCCATGTTTGATCTCTTGGAAATACTCGAGTTGAAATATTGTAGTAGTGAGGCAAATGGACACCCTCATATTCACCCAAACTTTTAGCTTTATCGCTATTGGTCTTTACAATCCAACTTGGGAAGTACGTACACGTAGTTAAAACATCACTCACATCATTAAATTTTAAATGTGAAAGTGATAAAAACTCTGCACTATCTCTTTGATAAAGTATTTTGCCCTCGTTAATTTTTTTATCGTGCGTTTTTAAAAACAGCTTTTTGTGACTCGGAAGGTCGGGTAATTTAAAGTCATCTTTTAGATAATTAATATTAACCGTTTTATTTTCGAAATTTCTATTTGCGTCGTAGTATTGAGAAAGATATTTTTTCTCAATACTTTTAAACTTCACATCTGTAGGTTTTTTCCAAACTACCTTCAAATTTAATTTATAATAATATTGAAGTAAAAGTAAAAATAAACAAAATAAATGAACAATTTATATATTTATCTATTACTTATCTGAAACAACAAAGCAAAGCATTTAAAATTTAATAAATTATAAAAAATATTTTGATTAAAATTGTTATTAAACTGCTTTCGAAAGCTTACGAAACCAAACAACTGAAACAACAAAACAAAGCGTTTCAAATTTAATAAATTATGACAAATACTTTGAATGAAATTATTATTAAATTGTATTCAAAAGCTAACGAAACCGTTTATTATTAAACTGTATTCAAAAGCTTTTTGTTAACAAAAAGTTCCAGCTTTTTAGTTTGTTTTTAAATTCTTAAATTTTTTTTTGTATTTAAAAAACTAAATTCGTTTTCATTAATTTTTTTTTTAACGATTTCATTAGTCTTGGGTTCTCCTTAAGGTAGGCTCTCTTGTCAAACCCTTATTCCGACGCTGTCCTTAAGGTCCGAAAATGTAAACCCCAAACTCTCAGTCGTTGTTTGCACACTTCGCTGCATGTTCTCTCTAAAAATCAGTCGGTGTATGTGTACACCACTGCGCCAATCCCTATATACTCCATTTTGCCTATTTCCAAGAAATACGAGTTCGCTGACACAAAGGACACTCAATGTCGGAATAGGGGTTTGACAACAGTGCGTTCCTCTCCTTAAATTTATTAATACGTATTAATTACTTTTCTTACACTTACATTGAATTCTTAAATTTTAAAAACCAATCCAGTTTTACAAAAACCAAACCAATTTTAATCATAGAACAAAAATAGTAAAAAAAAAAAACTTTGGCAGTCAAACCTGAACGTGCGCACGTGCTCTCCCTTGTTTCCATAGAATGTCAAAGAAATATCTTTTTCCAGCATAAAGTTTAACCTCCATTGACACTTGTCTAGGATACTTGTCAAATTGATTTTCATATGACCATTCGTTTCCTAAATAATTATGATTTTTTAACAAATTTATCATTGCTGTTTATAGTTTTATTATGTTTATTTTATTATAATTTGGATATATTTTATTAGTTAGGCAGATAAAAAAAAAATTTATAAAAATTGCAATCCCATTTCTAAGATTTTTCCCAAAAAATAATTTAGATTTTTTAAAGCGAAAGTCGTTTTTTTAAAACGCCTGGTCCTAATTTTACTGTTTAGAAATCTTTTACAATTATATAAACGATCTTATACAAATAGTGGTCCTGCATTTTTATATATTGTTTTTGGATCATTGGCAATTAATACAGTTGTACCTCTAAACCTTTTCCGTGTAACACTGTATGCGTAGGTGGGATATAGTATTTCATATTTAAATTAAAAATTATTACCAGAAATCCCGCCAACCTCCGCCAAAAGTTCTATGTTAATAGGATCCGCATCGTTGCTCAACCAAAATTCGGAGCAATCGTCTGAGCTAATTGCAAACACGTAAAACCCATCAATAGGAGGATGAATGTAACCAAAAATTCGAGCACCAAATTGAGATTCGGTAAACTTAAAATTCAAAGAATCTATGGTATCCTGGCGAAGTGGGTAATGAGGAAACATAGGATGGTTTCTCAAATCTTCAACAGCATATCCACATATATTGTCCCAATAGTGTATATTTACAGAGTTCTTCAACATATAATCCTCATCTCTAATGGAAACTAAACTCACGATGCGGTTTTGATACTTTTCATCTTGCTTTTGAATATTATTACCACTTTTAAAAACAAAGTCAGAAAAGTAAACAGCTAAAAACATGCACGCTAGCAACAAAATTGTAATTTGTTTATATTGTCGCTCTACTGGCGTAAATATAATAGATGGTTTGTTTGAATTTAACTTTCTACAACTGTTTTCTGTATTAAATGTTTTGTTTGTATTTTTTTTTATGAAGTCCAAACATAACCTTTGGTTTGACATTTTAAAAATGAATTGATTTTAAATTAAATTGTTTTTAATTTATTTCACAAAAAACGCAATAATCTTTATCTGATAACTAACGAAACCAAAGCTATGTCAGAAAAATTTATTGATTGTAAACTTTTATCTTTTCAAAGGATTAAAAAAAATAAAAATTAACGGATAAAAATTTCTTGCTGTTTTTTAGAATTTTTAGAAAGCAGTGTAGACAGTATGGAAAATTAAAATCCATTTTTATATACCTAGTTGTCTCTATTTTTAGCACTCACGTTTAGGTAATGCTGCTTTTAGTCTGGCCCTTCGTAGATGGATAAAGTGGAAAGCTTATTGAATGGAGAAAAATAATGATTATAGAATGAGAATTGTTCAAACAAACTGTTGTGAAAAAAGCAAAAAAAATATTTTGGCAACTTAGTTACGGTCACATATATTTTTTATTTTGAATACTTTGCAAGCATAGGAAATAGAAAAATTTTTTCATGCTTCTGATGAAAGCGCAATTGTTGAATGTGTTCATATGTGCTATGATTTAACTACAAACTAGTTAGCTTACAAATGCTGCATTGAATTCCGAAATTGACAGGAAAGCAACGAATTTTACGTTTCTTGTATTACTAAGTTAATTAACAACATGGTTTGACAACATAACTGTTTTATTTTCAACCTTAATTAAAGATCTCTCTTATATAGAATGAGATAGAATCATAACCATTATGAATTAAACGTTTCCAGAAGAAACATTTAATGATAGGAAAAGCGTATTTAAGTGTTTTTAACTCTTGCAAAAAACCAGAGCTGATGAATATTTCAAAAAAGAGATGCGTTAAACGGAAATGATACATTTTGTTTTTTATTGTGCACCTTAATACAAAACACAAATATATATATATATATATATATACATATATATATATATATATATATATATATATATATATATATATATATATATATATATATATATATATATATATATATATATATATATATATATATATATATATATATATATATAAAGGCATCTTATATATACAAGGAATGGGAATAAAAAATGTAATCATTTTGAAATTTAAACATTAGCTTTTTACTAATGAAAATAAACACTTAAGAAACGCTTTTTTCAAATTTTAGGTCTTTTTATTGGAGTTAACCCAGGAAAAAAAGTTTTATAGAATTTTCTATAAAGTTTTGAAACATGTGGCCTATAGAATTTCTATAGAATTCTATAGAGTTTTTATAGAATCTCAGTTAATTTCTATAGAAATTTCTATAGATTTTTTTTTTCTACTTTTTTTTCTTTAGAAAAAAGGTTTATAGAAATTTCTATAGAAATTAATACACATTCTATAGAAATTCTATAAGAGTTCTATAGAATTTTTATAGGCTATATGTTTCAAAAGTTTATAGAAATTCTATAGAACTTTTTTTCCTGGGAAATGAATTACCATTATGGGTTTGTGTATTATATTAAATGTAATAATATTTGTATAAAAAAAATTGCTCGTGTAAATAAAAATGTATATTTAATCAATAAAAAGTTATTTGTTTACATAAACATTAGATATATCAATATGTGAATCAAATATGATAATACACTGCTTTTCTGGTGGTGGGAAATAATACTTGCACTCCCAACCAATCGCTTCGGCATATTATGATATTTTGCGTCTGCTATATTTTTGTTCAAATATTTTTTTTTATAGTATTTAAAATCACATAACTTCTTTAATTTACGTCGTACATCAAGTGTCTGAAGTTACCCACCGTTCAGGGCCACCCAGATTTCCCCTACACATATTTGTAAGAATATACAAATGTTTGAAGACGCATCTTACAAATATCAAAATAAAAAAAGTTAACTAACATTTAAATAATTTCATATATTAATAGTAAATAAGTTTACATTTTTAATTAAATAACCTAGTATTCCATTGATTATTAAAACTATATATTTAATTTTTTTTTTTTTTTTTTTTTTTTTTTGTCAATATCTCTACGTCCTTATACTTTTATCAATAAATCTTAAAAATTTAAAATTTTGTCAACTTTTTATCACGTGCAGAGTTTTAAAAAACCATTATACTTGAATTGTTCGAAAATCTTTTGAGAATTTATTTGATGTCGCCACTAAAAAATTTAATCTTCGGAAGTCTTTTGTGAGAGAGTCGCTGTGAGAATGTTTATGAATAGTCATCAATATTGATTTTAATTTATTTTTTATGACAAATTAAAAAAATAGATTATTTCATACAAATAGTTCATTTCGTTATTTCTATTTATTCAATTGCATATAAAGTAAAATAATTATATATAAAATAATTGACGCAACGCAAAATGTAGATTTTAAATCAAATATAAATTCCATTATGAAAATCACAAATGCTAACATTTGTGAAATTCATAAGACAACTTTCATTAAGACAACTTTCATTAAGACAACTTTCATTAAGACAACTTTCATTAAGACAACTTTCATTAAGACAAATTTCATTAAGACAACTTTCATTAAGACAACTTTCATTAAGAAAACTTTCATTAAGACAACTTTCATTAAGACAACTTTCATTAAGACAACTTTCATTAAGACAACTTTCATTAAGACAACTTTCATTAAGACAACTTTCATTAAGACAAGCTGCATTAAAACAACTTTCATTAGGCTGCACTCGGAGCCTTTCAAGGCTCACTTTAAAGTTGCTGACAGGTGGAGAAAAGACTTCATTATCTGGTGAGCTGTTAAATGCGTTGACAACACAACAACAAATGTTGTTAAAAAAAATTAAAACTAGTCAGTTAGTTGTTAGTAATTAAAACTGTTATTGTATTTTTCCCGTTGAAGTATCTCGGTGATTAGTTCATGTTAGAATTGTAATAAAAGAAAATTCCAGTTAATTATGGCGATAATATTATCTATTTTAAATTTGAAGTCAACTCGTTTATGGCAGTTGACTAGAGATGTGTGGCCAAGTTGTGTATTTGTGGATTCTTAGCCTATTTTTTTCAATTCGTGCGGTATCTTTATGGCTTTGCGCTGTATTCTCTTATTAATTTGCTTGTTCTTAATTAAATGAGGGCTTCAAGCTGAAATTAAGAATATCATTCTTGGATTCCTAAGTCACGCTTAGAGGTGGTTGTTTCCAATTTAGTTTGGATCATTATTGAATTTAGGCTCGTTTCTTTCAATGAGTACTGGACGAGAGAGCATGAACTTCTTCACGTTTTACCTCATGAATCAAGAATTGCACCAAAAATCAACTTGTTCGATGGCTGATTAGAGTTAAGATTGAGCAGCTAGTGTATTGATGATGTTGTGGGTTTTAGTGTCTTCAGCGTAGATCTTACAAATATTAAGTATATGTGTAAATATATATATAAAACACACGTTGTCAAGACTGCAAAAACTGATCTTAATTTTATACGTTGTAAATACCAAACGCATTATTAATTAAAACTAAAGGTGGCACGAATATTATTGACCAGAAAATAGAATTGTTTCATAACAGCCTTAATTCCACGGGTGCCTAGGCTCTTTGACTTGCATAGAGCTCTGCGTTAGATTTCTTTTAATTTTAGATTTAAAAAATTATTGAGTTGGATAAATCAAAAGACTTAAAACTTGTCGTAACGTACACGTAACTTGTCGTACACGTAACTTGTCGTAACACACGCTTATTTTCAGTTTTAATTAATAGCATTATAATTTCCTTTAGAGTATTAAAGTAAAGTGCATTAATACTCTTATGAAATTATAATACTATAAATAAAGAGGTTTGAAAACATTTTTTGAGAGAAAGCATTAAGAATTTTTCAACAAAAGTATTATACAAGTTAGTATGTCGTGAATTTTTACGCTGAAAGTTTTTTTATACTTTATTGTTGTGTGTAAAATTTTAGATTCTTCAGTAATGTTCTTTAATATCTTTTTTTTATAAATAAGTTTAAAGCAAAGATTAAAGAACATTACTGAAGACTCTACAATTACCCCCATTAAAGTACAAAAAAATATTCTGTAAAACAATGTACAAAAAAATAAAAATTAAATTTTTTTTATATATACACACACACACACACACACAAACACACACATTTCAAAATCATAATTTAACATGCCAATTAAAATTGATTAAAAAATTTTCACAACACCTTCAATAAAGTTACAAGCTACGCCTTGAAGTTAAAATTTTAAACTAAACTCTACCTACTGTGGTTTATATTGTACTCTACGAATCGTGTTTTATATTGTACTCAACGTATCGTCTTTTTTAGCAAAATTATAGTTTATGAAGAATACATTTGTTAAATATTGCTACAATAAAGCACATTTACAATCATTTAAAGTTTTATTACAGTTAACAGCGCTGACGACACGGTTTTTGAAGTGTAGGGAGGGGGGAAAGGGTGCAAAGGTCCTTTAAAAAAAAAAGTATAGAGGGGGGCACGTGCGCTCCAGACCCCACTCCCCCCCCCCTACCCCGGTGTCGTCGGCCTTGATTAAATGCTGCAAAGTATAGATCACACTACAAAATTTATTTTTAAATAAATCAAGCACTATCTTTAATACCAAGGAACAAAATAACTCATCTAGTTTTCTCATAATGTACAAAAAATAGTTTATGTAACCATGTTATATTAAATAACATTTTTAACTTCTATTAGGCATAGTCTTTGCTGTAATTTTTTTTCAAAATTGTTCAAAGAAGTATGTAAACTTGAATTTGCAATATGAGAAGTTTCCATGAATTGATTACACTACGTGAAATTTCTGCGTTAAAGCTTCTGTATATTGCAACTTAGCAGCCATAAGCTATACGGAACATATGCAGTTGGATAAATCAGGGTTTAGTGTCTAAAGCAAGGATACAAACTAAGTCAGTGGCGGATCATGAAGGTGTCCACCTTCATGATCCGCCACTGACACCTTCATGATCAACTTGTCTTTGCACAGCATATTTAATTGATTTTATGTCATTAATACATATGACAAAAAAACTTGAACAATTTGTCATTTTCTATAATTCATTTCTTGCATTCATTACTCAGCTTTGTTTTAATTTTCACATGCACAATTTTTATCTTTATTATTATTCAGAGAATATTTTTATATCCTTCATTTAATGTTTACACATATGTCGCTTACATTTTTAAGGTTTTTGTGCAACGTTCTTTTTCGCTATCATATATTATTCTGTTATTGTTATGATTTTGGGTTTCGTGGGTTACTCATTTTCCTACACTTTTGATTGGTTATCATATTTCGAATGAGGTATCTATGACAGCGTTAGAGTTTATTTAAGGGAATTGTTTTGTTTATTAAAAAATTTTTAAAGGAGGTATACTGCTTTCTGATTATCTTGGGCTTGTTTATGCTAATAATACCTATTTGGTTTTATTTCTTAAAATAAATTGATTAATATTTTTATGTTTCTATTAGAATTTTAATTTATTTTGTTTTCATGTTTTCTTTTGCTGGTACGGTAAGTGTTTTATTTAGTTATTTTTATTTTTGTTTGTTCAGTAAATCTATACTTTTTATATCATATCATCAAGAAAAATATTGGTGCTTTACAAATTTGGGGTTGGTTGGGTTTTGGCTATTTGTAGTGAGTCCTTTTTTACTGCAGTATGGAATAGGCGTAAGTCGCGGGGTAAAGCATAAGTGGCGATGACGTTTGTCTGACGGGATAAACTAGTTATAAATGCTGATCCTCATCGAAACGCCAGTAATAATAGACGCGACTCTGAGGAGATGTTTATTACTTATCACTACACTAATTATGTTTACACATTAGCATTAATGTTTTTTTTCCATTATTAGTCCTTTCATTGTCGTTAGCATATTTTTAATTTGTTGAATAGTTTTTTGTTTTACAAATTTTTGACTGGTTATGTATTTCTTGTATATTTTAGTTCATATTGGTAATTATAAAACAATTTTTTATTTTTTTATTTTTAATTTTTTATTTATATATATATATATATATATATATATATATATATATATATATATATATATATATATATATATATATATATATATATATATATATATATATATATATATATTTATTTATTATTATTTGTTTTTAATTTTTTTAAATTTTTTATATTGTTATTATGGTTGAGTACTGATTTGGTTGTATAGCTTGTCTTATTTATTTTTAAATATTCCTCTATTAATCTTTATTTTTGTCTTGACAACTGTCAAAATATGCTTTGTCTAATAAATAGTTCTTCTTTATTCTAATGTACTTCATTTCTTCCCTCAGGCGTTCACTGCTCGTGTGTGACCATTCGGCGAATTTTATATGCCAAAGTTTTTAAATATAATTGATTTTACTATGTCATTAATACATATGACAAAAAAACTTGAACAATTTTTCATTTTCTATAATGGAATATGACAGGTATACTAACATGGAAGATAAAAAATATATACAATTTTTTTATTTTTTTCATTGACTCGTTTAGCATAACACTTTTTCTAAGACTCAAAAAATGTCTTCATCACTTTTTGAACTCTCTGCATAAACATCTGATTCATAAAATCCCTTCAGATATCTGATTCAGAAAACCCTTTTAGTTTCAGGCTAAAATGATAATCATTTTAGATCTTTTTGTTTTTTAATTTTAGAGTTTTTTATTTATTATACTTTCTTTTATTTCCATTTTTTAAACATCCCTATTAGTTCTAGGGCTTCCAAACTTTTAGCACACATTTTTTGTTTTTTCTAGATGCATTTTTTTTCCTTCCACACTGGTTGTTTAAATATGAAAACGATATTATCACAGCTGTTAATTCTGATTTTCTAATATTGCTAATTTTAATTTTGGTTCATTAACAAAAATATTACCATATATTGTCGGTACTGGAGAAATTAGTACAGATGTTGCAAATGTAGATAATACATTTAACTTTTTGCATTATATTTCTAATTGTGGTCTTTTTGACAAAAAAAGAAACTAATTTGTCATTTCTCTTAAATTTTTTTTATTGTCAAATCTCTTATTATCCAAGGAAAAAAAGTTCTATAGAATTTTATATAAACTTTTGAAACATATGGCCTTTAAAAATTCTATAGAATTCTAGAGAATTTCTATAGAGTTTCTGTCAACTTCTATAAAAATTCCTATTGACATTTTTTTTCTACTTTTTTTTATAGAAAAAAAATTTTAGAGCAATTTCTATAGATATTAATAGACATTTTATAGAAATTCTATAGAGTTTCTATTTCAAAAGTTTATAGAAAATTTTATAGAACTTTTTTTCCTGGGATAGTATACTTTTAACGGAGCCAATAATGTTTTGTCCAATAGTTGGAGTTTGTGCAAGAAATTTGGTGCGACACAAATGATGGTTACCCGGCTTTCAAAACAGGTCAAATAATTTTACACTCTTGGTAAGTGCATTATTACAAAATTGTCAGCAAAAGGCTTCATACTATTGATAAATGTTTAAAGCATTACAAATCTCTTAGCCTGCATTTAAGCAGGCAATGCTTCCAGAAGATGCCCTTTTCATAAGAACAGGTGATATAGTCTTTTATGGAAAGATAAACGAGGATGGTATAAAATTTCTTCCTGCACTCAAACATGTAACAACTGTTATTAATTTTGCATTTCTCGCGGAAGCAATGGCACTTATTTAACATTTTCCTTTTAGTTCGATGTGTTTCAGTGATAAGCGCAATTTTAAACTGGAAAACTATCAACCCTTTTTTGTCCACATTATAGATTATTCAACTACAAAGTATTTTTTTTTACACTCTTCACCTAGTTTTTTAAACAACGAATCTAAATTTTACATCGTAACGCTTTCTTATCAATAGTTTTTTACTATGACGTTAAGATAAAAGTCGCAGCCAACTTTTTTTCAGCTGGATTGTCGTTGAACTGATTTTTTATGTTATGTTTTTTTATTCAAAAGCCATCATTCTAATATCTCTTCTCGCAAGTCTAAAGGAATTTTTTTCCATTAATAAAATAAAATTTGCGAAACCTTTTCCCATTTTTTTGGGGTAAAACAGTATTCCGTCCTAATTTTTTTGGGGTAAAACAGTATTCCGTCCTAATTTTTTTGGGGTAAAACAGTATTCCGTCCTAATTTTTTTGGGGTAAAACAGTATTCCGTGCTAATTGATACTCTTTTCAGTATTCCGTGCTAATTTAACATTGATACTCTTTTTAAGATTTAATTTATGAACATAATCTGAACAAATTTGTTTTAAGAAAATTAAATATTTTGGCTGCTCTTTGATATCACCTTTTTTTAATGGCTGCAAGACCTTGTGTCATTTTAACTAGATCCCACTTTTTTCTAGAATTCTGTTCTTGTAGACATGCTCTATAAAAATAACACTTTTACTTTGAGATTATGTATGTGTCTTTTTTATTTGATAAAATAAAGAATCATCATTAAATTTATTAGAAAATAATATTACACGTCATAAAAGTATGCATAAAAGATATTTGAGAACTCAAATTATCACCAATAATTGTGAAAAAAACTGAGCGAAACAACGACAGACCGTATTTTTCTGACGTATTGGTAAACCTATTGAATAATTATTGAAATACAAGTATAAGACTATAAGACTGTTACTGATTTCATAGAAAATAATGGCGGTAGATTTCATAATGGTGGTAGATTACATAATGGCGGTAGATAACCTTTTTCATATTTGTGTTCCTTATATTACTTGATTTGAAAAAATTTTGATATAACAAGAGTTACATAAATAAGTTTAAAAACCAGGTATGTTATTTGGGGAGGGATGATTGAAGATGTGAAATATGTTGTAACCCATTTTGTAATATTGTACATTAAACACCTTATTAGTATTAAGCACTTGAGAGTGTTTAAATAATATATCGTGCATAAATATTGTAAAACCAAAATAAATTTCATATATTGTAAAAATGACAAAGTTCGAAACTTTAATAAATAAATTTATGTTTTACATATTTTACAAAAATATTTTTTCCCCATTCCAACATAAAACATTATTTTTGAACACCTGTCGACCTTTTGAAAACAAGTTTTATTGTTTAGGGAGTTCCAAAGTTTAATTGCATCCTTTATTTTAGATTTTTTTTCAACAAAAGCACAAATATGCATATTATAAATACTAATGGAAAGATTTCAACGATTTCTCAGAACAAACCTCATCACAAAGCCTTGTATAACTAATTGCACAACTTTAAGTACAGTATAATTGTAAAATATAATTAAATCTGTCATTTTGAAAAGAGCATCAGTCCATTTACTAAAACTTTTTAAAATCATAGAAGTAGATAAATAAAGAACGCATATAACTTATGTAATTTTTATTTTTTATAAAAAAAACATAAACCATACAGAAACTTTCAATTCAAACTTATAAATTAAATGTTAAAAGTTTTAGACTTGTGTCTTATTCAAAATGACAGGTTCAATTGTTTCTAGCTTTAAAAACTGTACCACTAGATTTAGCAGCTTTTGATAAAATACTATCAATGTGGTCTCTTTAAGATTTATATCGATATAATTCCTAAAAAAATATAAACTTTTTTTAATGATTGTATTGTTGATATAAAGATCAGGCATCAGAGTTGGTAATCTTTTATTTGAGCGTGGGTGGAAAGGAGTAATGAGTTTTTATTAATATTTAATGATAACTTATTTATTTTGAACCAATTAAAAACTTTTTTAAGCTTGTTTGTCATGTTATTGATTGAGTAAAATATTTTTATTTTCGTGAGATAAAAACAAATGTGCGTCATCTGCAAAGATTATGGTTGTTAGGTTTTATTTTTGTAATTATATTTAATATTTGAAATTATTAAATTTTATTTAGTATATTAATAATTTAATGACATTGAATTTTATATTTGAAAGATATTTTATTGTAAACATTTTTGGTGCAATTAGTTATATAGATTTTGAACTAACCTTAATATTTTATTTTTTATACGGTAAGAGACTAGTTTATTAAATAAGATCTTATGATTAATTTAAAAATAATAAAATCTCATAATTGATTTAAAAAAACTCGACAATGGTTATATCCGAATTTAAATTTATATGGTTCCTAGTAGAAGCAGTTCTTTAAAGGAGATTAAATTTTTATTGATGTATATCCGCTTTTTTATTGCTATTTTCTGTTTCTCTTGTTTAGAGTCCACTGATGTCAGTAAATAAATAAAATTTGGTTGAGAGTTATCTTCTCGGATTCTTAGATCCAAACTTAAATGTTTTTGTAATTATTACTTTAAAATAATTTAAACATTACTTTTATGAAATATATTACACTTAAATAATAACTGTAATATTAAAAATAATATAAAACTTTTCTTCTAAAAATGCAAAAGGTCAAAAGCAACAATGCCCAGAAGAAAGAAATATATTCGGCCATACTATTGATCTCTTTGACAATTTCATCACTCAGAAGAAGAACCTGTCGGACCCTGGGAAGAAACAATAGTTTTAAGTAGTCCAGTGCATTTGCCAAGAATTCGGCGTGTGAATTAATTTTGTAAATTTTGTACCTCATAGTCTGATCTGTTTCAAGAAGCATGTTTACAAACTCTCTCATATCTTAATAGTTTCCGCGATTCACAAAAGTCTAAATGTAAATAATTTAAAAGTTTATTTAGAAATTTATATATTTTGTCACCTTAAAATTTTGTAACTTCTAAAATAGATTTTAAAGTTTTGTTATTTTACCTTTACATTATTATTTTTTAATATTTACCTTATTATTTTTTACATTATTATTTTTTAATATTTACCTTATTATTTTTTACATTATTATTTTTTAATATCTCTTTGTTTACCTGCAAGTTTTAAGTGTCCATCGAGCCTGCTTCTGTTAAAGTTCAATTACTTCTTGTAATTGAACTTTAACAGATTCTTCTCATTGTTTGCATTGAAACTTTTTATAGATTTTAAATCCTAATCTTTTGGAATAATAAGCATCATACTTTTACCTGTGTACGTCTTTAAAAAGTTATCAGTCTTTTTATTATTTTGAGAATTAGCATAAGTATATCCTAGGCCTTCATTAATAGTCATTTCACTTTTAGAAGAAAATCATGATAAAACATGATAAGTTTTTTTCACTATGTCAGAGGTTTTGAATCTCTATCTTGATGTGGGTTATTTGCTAACAGCTACAAACCAATCGTCTAATGCTGGTATTGTACAGAGAATATTTAAATTTCTATTTTATTCCAGTTATTGGCTTCCCTGTACTTTTTCTAATATAACACATCATCCTTTTGTACTGAAAACTTTGAAGTAAGCCTTTCTCCATGGAATTAAGGTTCCGGAAAAGATAGAACTGACATAACCATTGTTTCATATGTATTTCAATGTAAAATGAATTTACGCAAGTTAAAGTTATATACTTATTATATCGTTTTTGCTCAAGCTTAAAAAGTTTTTCCATCTTTATTCAAGGAACAACTTTTTCTTTTCTGTTGATTTATAAAACAAAAAGTTAACTTGAAAGTTTTGGTTGTTAAAAGGGATGATAACCTTTAGTGCTTTTATTGAAAATCTTAAAAATAAATGAAGTTAGATTAAGTGAATGTTTAGATTAAACTGGTTTTTTCCCATACCATTCAGAATGACATCGACAAAAAATATTTTCTAAAGACTCGATCTCTTAAACGCCATTTTTTGAAACCCTTTCTTTGGAATGGTATAAATAAATGTAAACTATTTGGAATGGTAAAATAAATGTAAACTATTAAATTTTTTTTACAAATGTAAACTATTTATTGCACATAAAATATTTTTCTCTGCTAATGGTAAAAGTGTAAAATCCTTTTCTGTATTATTGACCAATTTAAAATTATAAAGTTTTTAGCGCCAATAGGCAACTGAGGAACTATACATCGTCATTGCCTCGTATCGTGAAATCTTTTATAAAACTTATAAAACACGTTTTGCATCCCTGTTTTTAATACACATTTAAAGTTTGTGCTCAAAACCAAATTAATTTTTTTTTAAACATCTTTAGCTACTTTAAGTACGGATCTAATGACCATTTAAATTATTAACTATATAAAGTTGAAACCCCCTAAATTTGAGGGGTTTAAACTTTATATGGTCATAAAGTTTGAACGCTGAAAGATAATACTGCGACACTAAAAATTTATCAATAAAAATAAGTCTAGTTAAGAATCGTACACAAAATACTTTATCAACTTCTTGCCCCTCCTGTTTGAGGTAGGGGGGTGATAAAATGTAAAAGCCTTTTTGTTCCTAGCCTCCAATCAACTCATTTTTTTTGCAAAACATAATTATTTCACATAAGTATAAACATGCAAATGTTTGGAGTTTGCTCTATGTCTGGAAGTTAGCTATTTTAAAACCAAAAAATGATGAAACAGTTACTGTTTATATCAAAGAAATATAATATTAAACAAAAATAAATTTTTTTTATGTTACCTCAAAATCACTGTAAATTTTACATTCAGTGGCTAAAAATACATAAATTAGCATTAACAAACCTATATGGGAGAGACCTGTGTTACATTTTTTTGGTATCGCTCAAAATTACAAAAAAAGAAAAAATGCTGAGGTTATATATAAAATACTAAGAAGACCTAGAAAAGCTGTAAATAAAGTAAAAAACTATGGGTCATTAAGAAAGCTGCTGAATCTTACAACGTTCCATTTGGAAAATTAAATGAAAATGTTCCAAAGGATTAAAGGGCGGAGTAAAAAACTAGACGAATAAAGCAAATAATTTTTTCAGCAGGAAGAAACAGATACAGTAAAAGGATGCGACTATTTTGAATGACAGTCAAGCGAGAATGAGTTTTGGTTAATGGACTAGAGATTATAGCTTTCTTTGAGCAGTAACCATAGTAACCACGATAACAACCACGATGCAACACATAGCAACCACGATAGTATTTGTAGAAAAGAGAAAGAGATACAAACTTACGACGGAGAGATAGAGGCTAAAGCTTAGCAGATAAAGCATTTCCAACTACCCTTACAATTGTCAAAAGTAAAATAATGGCAAGCACAATAAAGAGTGGTTTCACTCTTTATCATGATAGTCTTCTTTTGTACGTATGTCTTCTTGGATTAATATATATTATTGCAAAAAAAGAAAAGAGGAAAGTCAAAGGAAATTTTTTTTAAAGAATAAAAAAGATTAGTTAAAAACAGTGGTGCAACTTCAAATTTTGGGGCCTCCCGCAAAATGTTTTCTAAGCCCCCACCAAATAGATATGTTTTTTTACATTTTTGTAATAACTGTTTTTGATCAGCTTGTTGTTGTTTTATATTTTATTTCTTCAGATTTTTGGTCAGACATTACTTTAATACAGGATTGAAATTTTTAAAATTGATAACAATTTTTAAACATTACAGTTCCTTCACAAAATATGGACCGAATACAG